TGTTGACAATTGATGACGACCGGTGACGCCGACGACGACGACGATAACCATAATTTGGTATGAGCAACAAACATACAGACGTAATTTTGATTTAGTTTGCGATTATCAAGGAAGGATCAATTACTTGTCCACTGTTACAGTTGGCATTTCTGTATAAATGCTAATATAGTCTCCCACTTAAAAAATTTGATAGAATAAAATAAGAAAAATTTATGTAATTGAGTCGTAGTTTCAATAAGAAATGATAAAATTACATAAAAAGATACGTGTATTTAGATAAATATTTAATCGTTTAATATAATATCTAATTGTTAAAAGTAAGTTACAATATAAAACAAAAGAAATTAATTTTTTTTATATAAACTGAAATGTGAAAAATTGAAATTTTCGATAGAATTAGTAAATTCAGATAAAGTCTTATTTTAATAAAATTTGCATATATTTTTATAAATCCTTATCGAATTTTTTAAGCAGGGATATTCCTCTGATAATATATATAAAAAAATATGCTATCGTATCAACAGCATCAGTCTAATTGGTATGAATTTTCTTCATTCAATAGCAGCACCATTAAGACAAATATGCAAAACTATTATTTTAATAACTCGAATTTGTTTTACTTCAACAATATAGTGATTTAAGAAAAAAACTTTATTGAGGCACACAATCGTGCATCTACTTACTTCAACCAAGTAATTACTTATCTTAATACATGTGTGCAGTTATATAATAATCTCTTCATACAATTAAATACATGCAGTTTATTAAATCAAATCTGTGCTGTTAGTTAAATCGCGTGAAGTAATAGACACAAATCAATGATACAATCAATTTGATTAAAGTCAATATAAATACACTATTTTGTTCATTATATATAGTTTATTTCATTTACAACATTGCTGTAAATAAGTTACTTTTATTGCTGTAAATGTTTAAATCATACATATCTATTTTTCAGGCAATTAAAAACGCTATTACATTTGTTACAAATCTGCTTGATTTAATCGTAATTTAATCATTAGTACTCCTAATTTCCATTCTTGTGACTAAAGTTAAATTTTTTATTTATACACACACACACACACACACACACTAACACACACACACACACACACTAACACACACACACACACACACACACACA